CTTTTTCGATTACCAGCCTTATGGTAGTAGGAACGTGGGTAGGAGTAGGACCTTGATTGCTTAGTTGGAGATTTAGTTTTGGCGTTTGAGTTTAGCTACCTGTGTTGTACACAACACTCTGAAGTTACATTATTGGATGTAATAGCTTGAAGGCATTGCTAAATAAATGAGACTGCTATGCAATTACAGCTTACAATTCTAGTAAGATAGCGACCAATAATTAAGTACTGAAGTCATGTTTGGCATATTAATTTCAGTTTAATTTCAAACAATCTAACTTTTTGTGCACTTCAAGTTAGTCGTACCTGAGTTCCTTTCCTAACCAACGTGACCAAAGCTATTTCAGAAAATCACCACTTAAGTATCTATGAATTACCATATTTCTAATGAAATGTCAGTTGAATATATAAACATACTCTACATATCATAGCTGAATTCAGTTTTTTTTCAATTATCGCATTTCGTGATCGTTCATCTATAATTGAATATAACCTATGATACTCAGAAAAATTCGAATTATTGTGCTAACTAAAAACTCTATAAATCGTGAAATTTAAGGCAAATAAAATTAGATGAACATCAGTTCATGATCTCGAAAAAAACTTAATAATCTCCACAACCCCTATATTGATAAGAAAACTTATTCACACAAAAAGTTGAAAACACAAATCTCTCTATACATGTCTACCTGTTTATTACAACCTTGTCAATAAATTTTATATTGTGTAAACAATACTCCTTGTTTAAATAATGTCTACAACAACTATATACCATATTATATTGGCTTGATGACGCATTATTTTCAAGATATTGGCCCACACGCACAAGCACACACACATAGAAATTCCACTACAGAATTATTTGTTATGCAATTGTTATTTAGATTGAATCATTTAAGCAAATGAATTCCTGATCGTTCATGATGATTAGAAGTTAGCATAGACAAGTGTTGGCTTCGAATAGATCACTGCATTATTGTATTTCTCTGATTTTATATTCATATCTAACTGGTTGGTCTATTTGATTGTAAGTAAATTAATTAGTTACGTAATTAGAATATCAAATCATTATAGCAATTATTTCATTGTGTAAATGTTCAGATTTAGCTTAGTTGAATATATTAGTGGAGACTGGTAGTAGATCAGAGACAGTAATTATTAAGTACTAAGGTTATGGTATTTGTGTTTACCTAATTGTAAGCCACAGTTGTTGTTAAACATTTTACCGTCTCTAAATTGTCATTAATCAATTATGGACCTACTACTTAGTTTCGTATCATCACTTACTTGCGCCTTTTACTCCCAACGGAGCATAGGCCGCCGACCAGCCTTCTCCAACCCATTCTGTTCTAAGCCTTCCTTTCTAGTTCCATCCGATTGTTATTCTTCTCATGTCTGTCTCTATTTCTCGAAGTATTGTGTTATTCGGTTTTCCTCTTCTCATTGTATTTTGGGGATTCTAAGTGAGGGCTTACCTTATGACGCAGTTGGGTGCTTTCTTCAACTCCGCCTGTTGATCCCAAGCCCAGATAAAGGAGTAGGATTGGGCGACTTCATCTTGTAGAAAACTAACTCGCTAAGAGAACGCTAACCAAAAACGTTAATTCAAACCATATAAACTTTGCCATGGGAGTTAGAAGGTCTTCATTTGAAAGAGTTATGACGCCTTATGGTGAAAGCCGAGTTTCTTCTGAAGTTAGGAAGCTGATTCCCCTTCTGACAACTATAGTAACCATTACTTTAGGCACATGAAATGTTCGTACAATGTGTGTGCTGCTGTTTGACAAGGTAAATAATCCATATGAACCTATGAGTTTCTGAGTCATGATAGATAGAGATGAGCAGAGAACAGTATAACAACAGGACGTTAATCGTCATGTTGATTGGCTGTTGAAGTTAAAGCAGCAAACATTTCGCAGTCATTTGTTATCAGTCAAACCGATTAGTTTACTGACAAAAGATTATTGTGACATTAGATAAGCAGAAAGTCGTTGATTCAACCTTCATAAAGCGTACAAATCAACAAACCTATTCATTAATCGATGACCTCCACTATAAGTTGCTTGATCATACTAGCCTCATTAATAATAACAAAAACGTTTATCCCTTTCTTTATATATAGCAAAGACTAAGCTTCATTTACTCACCGACAAAATTGATGGTAGTTATTGATATCTATTGTAAGGTAAGTTGTTATTATGATTCCGGTAATATCAGAGTGATTGAAATGAATATTGATTGATTACATTATTAAGACATTTTCACCGAACAACCGTTACTATAACCCAATCGAAAAGAATAATCAATTAGTTTGTACAAGATATCAATTTATTCGCTTCATTTAACGCTTACATACGTAGTCGATAGGATTCGATCTGGACTAAGAAGGACCTGATATACATGAAATTAATCACCACTCATCAATTGTAAATACATCTCACACCGACAGGAGGTCAGTCACAGCCCAGATAGCCCAGTATTGACGTCTCTGACTGTGAAGCTGGGTGACACGCGACCCATTTCAGTAGGGAACATCAGCTTCATCAAGATTACAGCTACACCTTACTGATGAGTGCTAAGTAGTACAAAACCTAGGTTCAGGGTTTTCTATTGACTACCTCCAACCACCATCTTATCTCAACAAAGTACACTCAATGTCGAGTCATCCAAACTAGTGAGCACAACTTGGTCGATAGGATTTGATCTTCAATACGAAGGTTCTGACATACATGACATTGATCATCACCCAGTGATCAATCAACTGTAGATGCACATCTTTATTTTCGTTGTATCTTTCATTGATTTGACTTTTGGTCCTATGTTTGTCCATAATTTTTCTGATTGGTTGATAAAATAGATCGACTACAATGTGTTTGTTGATTGCTGATTGACCTGAGTGATAAGCTTCTAAAAATTCTATGGTGTTTTTAGAATTACCTCTATCCAAGATCTCAACATTTTTCCAGTCGAATATGTGTCCACAGGTGACCACATGAATTGATATAAGTGAGGATATGTCATGAAGTTTGACCTCTAATTGATGTCCATGTAGGCAAAGATGAAAATGACCTCCACTTTGTTTGATGTGCTGATGATGTCGCTCAGAAGAACGATGAAACCTCCACGATCAAGCCATTCAGTTTAGAGGACAAAACTCCGTCGAAATTGTATCTTTCCCAGCCTCACTACTTACATACATACTTACGTCTGTTACTCCTCGTTGTGGAGCATAGGCCACCCATCATCACTCTCCATCCAACCCTGTCCTGGGCAGTCCGTTCCGGCTCTTTCCAGTTGTTATTTATCCTCTTCATATATGCATCTATTTCGCGACGTAATATGTTCTTTGGCCAGCCTCATTAGTCATACATTTATTCATATGCGTTTTAGACTTAGTACGAATCACGAATAAATAGGATAGTCTTTCTGCCAAGTCGTCTTTTTCCTCCCTGCTTACCAACCACTCAGGTTATAGGCTATTAGTAGGATAGTTTCCTTCTCCCTCCGCAATGACATTCAATCAATTATCAGTGTAGGGTTGTGGAGATTATTAAGTTTTTGATTGAGATCATGGATCGATGAATGTTAGACCACCATTGAAAACCTGGAAGCACTGCATAGTCGTTTCGTCCTACACTGATAATTACCATGTGATCACTAGTGATTAGCTTTGTGAGGTAGTTATCAGAGTTCTAGTGAAAAGCCATGACTGGTGGAGCTAATCCGTGTTAGGTAAAGACAGGTATCTACCTCCGACAATTAAAAATGGTCACGCAATTCCGTGAATTGGTTGAAGTTATACATTAACACCATTGGATGGTAGCCAGTTCAGAGGTCTAGAGGTTAAGAGTTCGCTTGCAAGACCGAAAGTCCTGGCTTCAAATCCCGCGAGCAGGATCCTGAATGCGCAGCACCACTGATAAGTCCTATACTAGGAGGAAACAAACGTCCAGTGCTTCTAGGTTTTCACCGGTAGTATAACGTTCATCAACTCATGATCTCAATCAAAAAATTATAGATTGTCTATAAATGTCCTATCAATAAATAAATTAAGTTAACCGTTAAAAAAATTTACAAATCTGAAACCATACAGTATCCGAATCCTACCATAATTAGTATCGACACAATCAAGAAAATCAACAAAATCTTTCAAATAAACCCATATTACAGATTGAAAACACGAGTCAATTGAAGCTAGACCACCATGAAAAACCTGGAAGCACTGGACGGTCGTTTAATCCTATTGTGGGACTCCTCAGCAGTGCTCATCCACGACCCCGCCTCGCGGTATCCTAACAAAGGACCTATAAGTCTCGCGCCAGGCGCTTAGTTAACTAGATCACTGAGACGGCCGGCATCCAACGGTATTAATGTCTAACTTCAACTAATCCACGAAATTGAGCGACACATCCACCATTGTCATCAGTGCATTACTACCTCACAACAGACCCGGTTGAATTCCACTGGTCACTGCTTCTCCCTAGAACTCCAGGATATATATGTTGAAGCCAGTCACTAGTGAGTATATGTTGATTAGCACTTTTTTTCCAAAATATCTGATCATTCCAGAATGAAAACGCATAAGATGACACTAACTAGAACAACATAAGTTAAAGTTTAAAGAAAATGCAAACATTTTTGTGTGTCTTTTCCTTGTTGTTAAGTATATGTATGATGCATAGCTCGGTGGTCCATTAGGTTAAGCGTTCGCGCGCGAGACTGAAGGCACTAGGTACGAATCCCGCTAGCGCGATCACGAGTGAGCACTAATAAGGAGTAGTCCTACAATAGGACGAAACGACCGTCCAGTGCTTCCAGGTTTTCTTAAGGAGGAACTAGACCTTCACTGAAAGGCAATCTGTCAGGATTAACACAGGTTCACCAACCTACTATCCTTATTTCTGAAGACTGCATTAGTTTATAATTATTTCATAAATATTACTCTACAGACTGTTACCATTTCAATATACCTTTATTCAAATATAAGAAAAAGAAAGATTTCCAATTAGGCAACTTTTATTATTTGAAAATCCTACAAGATTATTTCCATCATATATGAAGTTATATTGATAAAATTTACTGGATGATTAAAAAAAAGGGGGAGATATTTTCAAATATCACCATGGTGATTATGATGATGATGATGATGATGATTATGTAATACAAAGATAGTTGTGAATGGATATTTAATCTAATGTCTCTTCACTATCTATAAAACAATCATCAATTTCTGTTATATTAAATAAATCTTCATTCATTTCTTCAATGAAACTACTTTGTAAATAGTTACTACTTGAATTAATGATTGTACATTGATTATTTTGTATTTTATATTGATCAATATCAGATAATGGTATTATATGTAAACTAATAATAAATCCATAAAATAATGAACCAATTATTGCTCCAATATATGGTCCAATTAATGGTAACCAAAAATAATAATTATTTGCTTTGAATGCTTGAATACCCCAACCTTTTTTTCGTGTTGGGGGGGGAAGGATGAGTTACCATGCAAATGAAATTGAAGCAAAGAAGAAAGAAAAACAACAAAAAGAAAAGAAAAATGTTAATAAATCTGAAGAAAATATCATATCAAATCAAATTCAAACGAAGGTGATTAGTAAATATAAAATAAAATGTGGTGTTATTGAAGACTACAAATGATCAGTCTCCTATTGACATGTGTGCATCCTGCACTAATTACCTCGATATAGTCTTAGGTCACAAGCTTTTTAAGTAAAGATGGATAGTGACTGGCAGTGAAATCCAGTTTGACTCGTGTTTTGTCCTATTTGGGACTCGTCAGCCTAATGTCCCTTGCATCTCAGAGTTGATGTTCACCGTGGGACTCGAATCAAGTACATTTCGCTTCAAACACCATCGCATTATCTACTTAGCTACTACTGAGTCCTGACACCCACCTCCTTGTGCAGTAGGGTGAAGTTTAAATTCACTTGGTGTTGTATTACTTGTATCTTTTCAACAGGACGAAACGCGCGTCGTGGATTGCACTGATAGCCACTATCCATCTTTGCTTAAAATGACATCGGTTGTAAATACACTTTAGTCTTATAGGAATCCAGTTAGAATCCATATTGTTCAGTGGTAATATCTTAGACTGTGAAACTGAGTAAGATAGGCATGAATCATACAAGAAACGTCGGTCCTTCTAAGGTTGGAACCACACCATACTAACGAGCTCTAATTGGTACAAAATCTATGTCAACTAGGGTTTCTTGTCTACTACATTCAAACACCTAGGACTTTACTTAAAAGATAAATGATACTGAAATATCATTAACTAGTCAACAATTCTGAAAACTAGACCCGAAGACTTTAGGCTATATTGGATATGATGAGTATACAGTTAACATGAAAATAACAATATCAATCTAATTGCTTTCATATTTCAATTGAAGATGTCATGTAATTCATTTCGATAATATCCTCACTCATTCCACACTTCTGGTCATCATTAGTAAACTTCACACAACATAGTTAATATTATCTAACAGATGAAACTCGTTTAAATGTTTCGGCTCATTGAGCTTTATTTTCTTTACATTGAGGAATCTCCAGATGGATATACTAACATTCCAGTGTTGGTGCTTTTTGCATCAAATACTACTGAATCCAAATAGCAACTAATTTGCATAACGAGTATAATATTTAAAACTATATTGGATAAGTTCCAGGGCATTAACAACATCAAAGTTTGAAGCGTAACGTATTGAGTTTCAATCTCATTGTGAATAACAACACTCGGATGTAAGATCATCTAATTGACAAATGTCAAATATTACGGAATACACATTCTGAGTTTCACTCTTAAACATAAAATAAATGGCGAGATTATAATTTATAGACGAACCAGTCAGATATAAGATAAAGATCTTGTATTTTGGCATGAAATTCATTCATCCACTTTGTTCAAGAGCGCGAGGATATATTGCAGCACACTGGCAGCACGAAAAAATGAAGATAAATACTTGAAGGACGTATTTCAAAAGAACGGCTACCCAATCAACTTCATCAAAAAATACCAACCGCAAGCAGCATCAGAACCCAAGTCAAGCAGAGAAATCAACAAAAGGATCACCCTACCATACATATAAGGAATATCAGAAACCGCAACGAGACTGCTGAAAAACTTCTGGATAGGTGTAGCACTTAAACCGAAAAAATCACTACAATCAATCTTATGCAAACCAAAGGATGAAATAATCAAGAAAAACAAATCAAACATCATCTACAAAATAAATTGTACCAACTGCGACAAACACTACATCGGACAAAGCGGATGCCCCCTTCACTTTCGCGTACACAAACATCAATTAGCAGTGAAACACCATGATATCAATACACGTGGACAACTGCGGACACTCATTCGATTAGAAAAATGTAGAAATCTTAGACAGAGGAAACTGCATAGACACCAGAGAAGTTTTAGAAGCCTGGTACTCAGGTCAGTCAGCAATCAACAAGGATATTGAAATCATCAATCCAATTTACCAACCAATCAGGAAAATCATGCATAAGTATAGGAACAAAAATCAAATCAATGGGAGACACAATCAAAATAAAGAAGTAAACAATGATAAATTTAAGGTCAATAAGAACCAATCAACATCGAGGTGCACAGAACAAGCTGTGACACATATGGAGAAATTCGAACACTTCACTTCTATCTGAAGTTTGTGCTGATGATGTCGTTCAGAAGACCGATGAAAGCTCCACGATCAAACCATCCAGCTCAGAGAACAAAACTCCACCAAAATTCATTCATCCACTTGGTTAAATATCATTTTCGCATTATAGCTGATTTCAGTTCATGATGAAAACCCTAAATCTATTTCCTTACCTTAACAATCAATTGTAAATCATTGTTCTAATTCCTTACATCGGTTTATAATCATTATCTAGTCTTAGTATGTGAACATCCTCAATATCGTTTTAGCATCACTCAAATGTCGTCCATAAATTTATAGTCTTACCTAACAAGACTACAATTTATAGAAGTACTAAACAGATATAAAACAGCATCTCTTGGATTGATCCACTTGGCTAAATAATCCTAATCATCCATTATAAATCATAATCCTTATTCTTTAAAAAAAAACTGGCTTATAGTCATCATTTCGTCCTAGTTTCTACATGGATATCCTCAACATCATTTTAACGTCACACAAAAAAATCATCTCACCATAGAAACATCTACATCTATATAGTAAAAGAAATATATACATATTACATAATCAATCATTTACCACATAATGATATTGTTATTCTTGCACCTAAATCATTAGCTGGATTTAATCCAATCCCAATATTTAATGATAATGATCCAATTATACCAGTGAATAATAATCCAATATAAATTAATTGTAATTCATATGATAAATTATGATTATTATTAATAATTAATATAATCCATGAATAAATTGTATTCGATATAATATAATCTAATAAACATAATTGATGAGATACATTAGGTAGATTAACAAATAATGAACCAGTATAATTCATTTCTAATTTACCATATGAATATAATTTAGCATATAATTGTATATTTTCCCAATAAATACAAAGGATAATAAATGTACCAAATATTGATCCTAATAATTGTACTATACTATATGGGATAAGATAACGAAATGATAATTTACCAATTAAACAATATGCAAATGTAATTGATGGATTTAATAAACCTGATTGATTACCATGGTTACTAATACTACTACTATGATGATCATGATCACCACCATTATCACCATCACCACTACAACCACCACCACTACCACCACATCCATTAGTTGATATTAATAAACCAATAATTTTAGCTATACCCCAACCTGTTGATATAGATAAATATTGTCCAATATTTTTATTATTTATTGAATGAATATTTGTTTGAATCATAACACCTAAACCAAATATAATAAATATTGTTGTACCAATAAATTCATTTATACAATTACATAATAATGGCCATTTAGTTAAATTAATATAATTTGTTAATTGTTTAATAAATGCATTATAACGTATTTGATAGATTGATTCATTATTATTTGACATAATTACTCCTGTGATAGTGATGATGTTGTTGATGATGATGATAGTGTACTCGACTTTAATTGTTTTTGACATTTACTTACCTTTTTTTTTAAATGGTTGTATATATTGATCCAAATTGTAGGTGGGTACATGTGCATACAATACATTATTTTATTCTATATTGGTTTGTTTGTCTTTTTTCAAAATGGAATTATGTAATCAACGTTTAGTTTTTATGTGCAAATCTGTAAAAGTTGATTTTAATGACTTCATTACAACATATATATATATATATATATATATATATATATATATATATATATATATATATATATATATATATATATATATATATATAGTAATATTAATAATAATAACTCTGCTCATAATTGATTGATCACAGGACGGTGAAGAGTATCATGTATGTCAGGCTCTTCTTGGTGAGGATCGACTAAGTTAAAGTGTGGTCACTAGTTTAGGTGACTCAGAGTTGCGTGTACCATATTGAGATGGTTGGAGGTAGCCAACACGAAACTCTGGGTGACCTAGGTTTCGTGCTACTTAGCATTCGTCAGTAAGATGTACTTGTAATCGTGATGTAACTAATGCACTCTGATGCGTTCGATCCTGTTTCAGCCAGCTTAACATTCAGAGCCGTTATGAATGAGCTATCGAGGCCGTCGCTGACTTTCTGTAGGAGTGAGATGTATTTACAACTGATTGATTACTCTGAGATGATCATTGTCATATGTATCAAGTCCTTGTTAGTGTGGGTCGATTCCTTACGACTAAGTTGGTATCGTCTCTGATTGTGAAGCCGGGTGTTACGGTACAGGCATACTTTACTGACGGATGTCAAATAGCACGGAAATGAGGTCCAGAGTTTCCTGTCGACCACCTCCAACCACCATTTTGTTTCAACTTTACCCACTATAACATAATTCTGCTATGATCTCGTTCATATATTCAAACGTTTTGGGACTTTCCAAAAAAATAATTATGTACTGGTTTGCTTATCTAAGTCATTATGTTTTTTTAAGATTTTTGGTATGCTGTTCAATGATGTGCTTTTAATTTATCTTAAGAAGCGACTTTAATTCAATTTTCGAGCAATATTGTCGATGAAACCGTAAACATTATGACTTGTTCCACTTTGTATACGCTGTAGATGTTAGATTAATACAGTCATACTGTTAAAAGTCTTCAAACACAACACATTCTATTCTATTTATTACTAAGTAGCAACATTTTATTAGTGGATGGTCACATTTTGTCATTTAAATTTTTACTTAAAATACTAATATTATCTGACGAACCTTGACAATACTTGAGATATATTGAAGTGTTGTGGAAAATAACAACTATTTATAAAACAAGTTGGTAAAACAATGTTCCCTCTAAAAAAGTTTCTTCATATAAAATGTTTGGCAAAAAATATTGCAAAATAATTGTGACTCTTTTTAATTATACTTACTTACTCAGGCTTGTTACCCCTCATGGAGGAGCGTAGGCCAACCACCAGCATTCTCCATCTGTCCTAGGCACTCCTCCCCCAGCTTCTGTTCAATTTTTCATGTTTCCTTCTAATTCCAGACACAGAGTGTTCTTTGCCCTTCCACATTTCCGTTTTCCTTCAAGATTCCAAGTTAGGACTTGCTTCATGATGCCGTTTGATGACTTCCGACATGTATGTTTCATCCATTTCTAATGTCTTTTCCTAATTTCCTTCTCGTCTAGAAGTTAGTTTAATCTCTTCCACAGTAGGCTGTTCCTGATGGTGTCCGGTCAACGATATTATGTGATCATATGTCATTGTATTCAGAGGGTAGCGTCTTCATGCTGGACGCGGTCGAACTCCACCGGTCACGGATTCTTATCAGAACTTCGAAAACTAATTATTTAAACTAGTCATAAGTGTTTACATGATACTGCTCGTAATTGATTAATGAACCTAATAGGCTGATTATACATCCTTAACTGTAAAAGACCAGGGTTAGAACATAAAATCAGTTTTTATACACCACAACCTTTAATTTTAGCCAATATTATATGTTATTCTAATTCCGTTACTAACTATACACTGTATTCTTAACCTAAATCTTAGACTTAGTAATAACTCAACCCTAACCTTAGTGAATATTACAACAAAATACTATTGACGATGAAGATTGAGTGATCACCAGTTAGGTGTTGGCAGTCCAGTGAATAAACATTTAGTTAATGTACATTCCTTCCTCTGAATATTGGCAGCAACCACGATGTATCCGAATGGGCTCTTTTGTAACTTGTACCACGAAAGGTCATAAACTTTTCATAACCACGGTTGAATAGGTCACAAGACTAATAAACATAATGATGTGTTAAAACAAATAATAAAATAATTTTTTGAAATGTCTAGATGGCAGAAACAGGTAGCCCAGATATTCAAGGAGGCAGGTTTCTATCAACATACCGTCTTCTATGGGACGAATAGTGTTTTACTTATAAAAATAAAATATAATATGTTCGGTGATATACATGTTGTCTTAATATGGTTGCATATACAGTATTTTCGATTTATATATACCCCATGACCATGAAATTACTTTTGTTTTACTGATTTATTCATTTGCATACTTTAACTTTTGGAAACAATCGAAATTGGAATATATGGCAACAGAAGGTTAAGACGATCAATGAAAAGAGAAAGAGGACAGAGAATGATTGCTGCAGGAACAAAGAAACAATGAAGTCTGAGACGGTTGGTTGACATTTCGCAAATGAACTATTCACTGTATGATTCTCAGGTTTTACTAAGCTGTTCTGTAGTTTTGTATTTAAATACATTCGATTGTTACCACTTGTGTCCTTATTCACTACAATAGGAATTCCAATTTATATAACTAAATATTACTTTCTGACTATTTATTCCTTGAATTTTATGCAGATTATAATAGTAACCAGCGAACCAGGTGGTTTCCTGAGGGGACCACACCCAGAGCCTTTGACCTAAAGGTCTGATCTACAAAGAATTGGAGCAACGTCAGAAGATGCAGTTCCATCGTAGCCGGTAACGAACAATCTTTTCATACGCCATTTGTTCTCTCAGGATCCTGGAGCCCATGTTCTTCATTGGTTCGGAATCAGGGTTTTCGAACTCCCCTAGGCGGATCCCCCGCACCCGCTGACCCGGTTAAAGCACTTGACATCCACTTTTCGTCCTCTCAATTTCGTAAACAACTGTGGTGCGAGAAGGCAGTAAGTAGGACTTCCGTGGCGGTGGTTGTATCCACGTGGCTATGTGAAAGTATTTCGAGAGGGAGAAACAACAAACTGCACCCTCGGCAAGAAATTACGTTCATTTTCCTGATGTATCAATCTTCGTACTTTAACGTATAGAAAAAACAAACTTTTGGACCTGTCGTAGATGAGGAATAAATATCGGTTATTGGTTATCTACAGAACAGATAGTAATAGTTATTAAGTACCAACTATCATTAATGGACGCATCCTTACAATTGAAGAACATATGGAACTCAAAACAATTGTCTGTCAATCAATATCAAAGTCAAAATCCTCAATACGAACGTCAAGATAGTTAGTTCTGCTGTACAGAGCTGAAACTCTGACAACTTATACAACCATCATCAAGAAGGTACAAGTATTTATAAATAGTTGTCTACTCAAGATACTCAACATCCATTGACCGGATACAATCAACAATATCCTTCTTTCAAAGAGAACAAACCAGCTTCCAGTTGAATAGGAAATTAGGACAAGACGATGGAAATGGATAGGACATACATTACAGAAAGCCCTAACATGGAATCCAAAAAGGGGGAGTGGAAAAGAGTAAGACCAAAGAACACATTACGTCAGAAAATAGCAGTAGATATGCAAAAGGATGAATAACAACTGTAAAGAGCTTGAAATGATTATCCATGACAGAGTTGGATGGAGAATGCTGGTAGTTCGCCTAAGCTCCTCCACAAGGAGTAACATGTGTAACTAACTAACTAACTAACCAACTGTCACTGTAACCATTTAAAACAAACAAATAAACACCACAATTTTACCTACAAACGAACCAATCACAAAACAACCCTTGAATTACATAATATATATTACACTTTTATTGATCCAGTGGAACAAATATTGACATAAATCTATTATAAATAAACCAATTATCATTTCAAAAAAATAAAGAACACCCCCCAACATGTTTTTTTTTAAATATGATTAATAATAATAATAACTCATATAGCACTTACAGTACAATTTTTATTCATTCAAGAAAATGTATAAAATTAATCTCCATGACAACTATATCTATTTCTTATATAAAATAAAACATAAATTTTCTTTTATTCATAATAAACATTTATTAAATATTTGTATAAGTGAATTTATTGGTACATTTATATTAATTACAATTGGATTAAGTAGTATGTTACATAATACATTAAAATATAATTTATATTATATGAATATATCAATTGGTTGGTCAATTGCATTATTCTTATCACAAATTATAACTCAACCATTAGGTTATAATAGTTTAATGAATCCATCTATTACATTATCATTAGCATTAATTAATAAATTATCATTTTATTATGTAATACCATTAACAATGATACAATTAATTAGTTCATTTTTATCAAGTTTATTGATTTATTATATATATTATTATAATTATATTAGTAACCATGACAACATCAAATTGATTATATTAAATCAATTTATAATAACACCTAATGGATCACATTTAATATGTTTTATTGATCGTTTATTATTAACTATTATGACAACAATATTTATTTTATTAATAAGAGATGAAAGAAATGATAAAATACAAAAAAATTATCGATTAATTTTTATAATTTTATTTACATCTGGACGAATTACATCATTATCAATGAATGCTGGTACATCAATTAATCCAATACGTGATTTAGGTCCAAGAATAACAATTGCATTATGTGGTAAGTGAATACTGTCTTTGATATTATGTTATGTTTTTTTTTGTTGGTTTACTTTGGCTATTCAATTCAATATATGTATTACTTACTTACTCCTGGAGGAGCATAGGTCAACCATCAGCACTCTCCATTCAACCTTGTTCTGGGTGATCCTTTCAAGCTCTTTACAGTTGTTATTCATCCTTTTGCATATCTACTTTTATTTTCTGACGTAATGTGTTCTTTGACATTACTCTTTTCCACTCCCCCTTTTGGGATTCCATGTTAGGGCTTTCTGTAATGC